CACAAAAACTATGATCTTATCCCATTGGGCATTTTAGAATCTGAATTCACATACTTGGTCCTTAAGTCTGTATAACTGTTGGCTGCCTGTGACTTAAAATTCAGTCCATTAAAGCACAGACCTAACGAGGCCCAAGTCATGGGTCCAGTCTCATTAATGGTCAATTATTTTGCTCACACTTGCTGTGTTGCATATTCATGACCTTGGTCACAAGGGTGGACCAAGCCAGAGAGGGAATAGTGCAAATCCATGACCACAGCTACTAGAAAAAGAAGCACAAGCCCTGTGAATGGAGGGCAAGATGTGTCCTCTACTATACAAAAGAAAGTGTTTAAAAAACAAACAAGAATTGGGCACATATGCAAGGTGAATGGTGCTATTTGGAAATATTTCACTTTAGATCATTAACTAAATATACTGATGAACCCTGCAAGCTGGAACACACAGTAGGGCATGTAGTGGTCTGGTTATGATTCACTTAAAATTCTGGGACACTAAATAGACACATGCTAAAACTGATAATGTTTTTCTCATGGTAGTAAGTCATGGCCTAACACCTGCTTATTTTGTTACAATGGTAACACATTTCAAATTTGAATGTAATGTTAGAATTTTCCCTGTATTCTTTACCTATCTAAGAGTCATTCATAAAATATAATAGCAAAAAAAAAGATAATAGCAAAATTTTATATGGAAAAATAATGAGGTATTTTGTCATTGATGGGGATAGTAAAGCTTGTGTAATAATCCTGTATAACATTTAATGAAATGTAAATCCACACACAAACAGCAGGAACCTGTTCTGGTTATTGGAGATGATTAATGAGGAAGACAATCCCAAATGGTGGGTCATCATCAAATTATATTGGACTATGGGGCAGAGAAGGAGGGAGCTGGGGATGGTGGAGAGGTAGAAGACAAGATTTCTTTCCTGTGAGACAGCTTACAAATTCCTTAAGGAAAATCCTCTAACTAGATAATCCATCCACAAAGACACAATAGACTATGGTTATATTCAGTGAATGAATTTAGACTGGTTACTTTGTAAAAACCATCAAACCAACCATTCACCTCTCTTTCTCTCTCTCTCTCTCACACACACACACACACACAGTCATTTTCTCAAAAGACTGTAAGCTCCATGAAGGCTAGATCTATCTATCTATGTATCTATGTATCTATCTATCTACCTATCTATCTATCCATCCAACCAATCATCCATCTCTCTCTGTGTTTAATTTAAAATACCAACTCCCAGGGCTTCCCTGGTGGCGCAGTGGTTGAGAGTCCGCCTGCCGATGCAGGGGACACGGGTTCGTGCCCCGGTCCGGGAAGATCCCACATGCCGCGGAGCGGCTGGGCCCGTGAGCCATGGCCGCTGAGCCTGCGCATCCGGAGCCTGTGCTCTGCAAAGGGAGAGGCCACAACAGCGAGAGGGCTGCATATCGCAAAAAAAAAAATTTAATAAATAAAATTAAAATACCAACTCCCAAAGATACAGCATGGAATAGGACTGGGATTAGGGAGTCCTTGGCTATCTCTTTCAACGAAAGCATATAGTCAACTAAATGTTTGACAGTGAGCAACTCTCCTCACCTCTTTAGGTCTCCTCTGCAAAATGAGAAATGTCCTTCAACTAGGAAGCATCACAAAGTAAAAGTTTTGCTTTTTCTTATGCATTCTACTCCTTGTGTGGGAGATACAGCTATTACTACATTCCTATGATCTTATTTTAGTTTTAAATCCTTGGGTAAGAAGTATCTCTTTAACAACCAAATTTGAACCTTATTCTTTCTGCTCCTTCCAAAAAAATTACAAATAAATTCTATTAAAAATTCTATTAAATTACAAGAGATATAGTGTAATGCTTACATGTTTGGTCCTCTGAAATAGATTTTTGGGTTCCACCACTTAAATTAGGCAAATCACTGAATCTCTCAGTGCCTTGATTTCTACATAAGGATAATAATGACACTGGCCTCACAGGATGGGCAGGAAGATGAAATAATACAGTTAGCACAGAGCCTGGCCATAGCCAATTCTCAGCAAACGTTAATTTTTAAGCCATTCCCATTTCTCCATTTGTCCTCTTCATCTTCAGTATATGTATATTTGTGTGTATACATGCATATATGAAATAATGTATAATATATATTATACATGTATATTTTATAATAACGTATATTATAATCTCAGGCACAGCGTTTTACAGCTGGAAGGAATTTTTAGATTAAATCCAAACCTCTTGTTTTACCCCTGAGTATGTAAAATTATTACATTTGTATTCTTTCTGTTAGACTCAGATAGGTAGAGTAATCAGGTTAGTGACAGAAATGATATTCGAACTTGAGATTCCTGACTTGGGGTTGCATTCTTTCTATTTTTCTTCAATTTAACATTACTTTATATAAATAATAATAACCATTTTCTATCAATATTATGAAATATTCCATAGTTTTTTGGTTCTCAGTAAATTATGACTTCATAATAATGTGGCTTATTTTCTTGATTCTTGATCTTTTCATAAATTAGGAAGTTTATTCACTTAAAGAAATCTTTAATGAACACCCAGTGATCATCTAGGTGGTCAGAAGAACCTGCTTCAGGAAACAGGTAAATCTTCACACGGTACCTTTAAAAATTTCAGGTTTTAATTTCACTAATATATAATCTAATATTAGAGCCCCTGAGCAAGATCTTGGGCAAGTCACTTGACCTTCTTATATTTCAATGTGTCAAACTGGTCGTAAAACTGAGTAAAGCATGACCTCATTATAAATCCAATTAGACTTGAAAGCTAAGATGTGATTTGATACATTAAAGAATTACCAAAAGGGAACTCTAGCTGGTAAAATATGAAGAATCACAATAATGAATTTTACTATAATAAGTAAAATGATTCTGAAATACAGTTTTTAGCAAGTAAAATCATGAAAAAGTTTCAAAGTGTTTTATTTGGGTGAAATAGGTTAAATGATAGAGAAAGAAATATTATTTTAGAAAATGCCTGGTTTTCAAAACCATAGATTGTAGCAACTTAATTATAAGGCATGGAAGACTATTAGAAGGTAATAAACCCTTAACAAACACATTTCATTTCTAGGCCACTATTTCCCCCTACCTACACAATGTATGCCAAGCTTTAAAATGTATTTAACTAACTACTGTATGAAAACCTGGCAAAAGAATACAAATTCCCTTAGTGTGTTTAGCCATTTAGACTGTCACTCACTGTATTACTGAATATTCTTTTAACTGACTTTATATTAGCCCCTTTCCCCCTATTTCCAACTCTTCTATTAATATATGCATTTAAAAATATATATACATACATTTTATTCCCACTCAGGATACCCCTGTGAGCACAAGATGATGACGATGACGATGGCGATGACAATGACAGTGATTGGTAGATGTGTTAACTGGATGATGTCTTTCTCATCTGCAGAGAGAAGGCAGTACCATTCCCTGGCTTGCTGCTACAGCTTCTCTTTAAATCGTACAGCAGGTTCACCCTTTCTGCAGCATTCCAGAAGGAATATCAATAAGAACAGTTCCACAGATGCTTGTCTGAGGTTATCACAGAAGTCCTGGGGCATCTACAATGTGCCTGAACATTTTCCATTGTTTTAAAACATCTTTCTGCAGACTTTGTCAAAGCCAGAAACAAACACAACCAAGCAAAGCCCTTTCAAGCAGAGCTTGTCAATCGCACACTTTGCCACATTCTCTGAAACAGTAAGCAAATGATAACTTGCAACTGTTGCTCAGGCCCTGTAAACAAAAGATCAAATTCTGTGCTCTGCCTTGGCCAAAAAAGAAACTGCAGCATTTTGTCAAGATTTTTACAAAGTTCTGGGCTTCAAATTTACAACTGGTACTGTCGTTTCTCTAGTATACAGAAAATTGAAAACATTAGTAAATTTAAAGATTAAAATACTACTTGAAAAAGCGTATAATTAAGATTGTACATTAAAGAATGGTCTAGCTCCATAGTAGAGTCAGTCAGCTGTGTGTTCTAGCTCTAATCTAGGGGATTCTATGTATCTATTTTTCTCCTTCTTTGTTTGTACGGGTGTATGAGTAAAGATCTGATCTCTCAGGACCAGGTAATTAACAAAAAACCCAAAACCAAACAAACAAAAAAATTAAAGCATGTGTTTTAAAGTCTATAGAAGATGCACAGATACATTAATTTCAGTAAGACTGGGGTCAGGATGAGTAGTATTTTCCACAGGAAAAAGAGAACCAAACAGTAGGAGAGGGAGATTATTCAGGCATAAAAATTCAGTGGAAACGTAAAAACATTAAAATAAGACTGGCTAAGCATATGAACACGACACAGATTTAGCAACTGAGCATATATTAATTTGTCTCTGATATTACTTCAAATTTTCAAAAGCAAACGTCTGACCAATTTCTTGCACGAGGCACACTGCCCTTCCCCTTCCAGACCCCTCTCCCCGGCAGCAGAAGGAAAGCGGTCAATTCCTCTGTCCCCAGCTCCCCGCGGCCACCCCCTACCCTAGGACCGCCCGCAGCTCCCCAACGGAGGCGGCCAGCTGCGGACGACGAGGCCAGGGGCCAGGGGCACCCGGGTGCCCCAGCGGAGCGGTAGGAGGTGTGAGGTGGGGGTAGGAGGGGGGGGCCCACAGGTGGGGGTGGGGCTGGGGTGAGGGGCCTTGGGCTTCTGAAGCCCAGGGCCGCCCCAAGTCGGGGCTATGCTGACGTTCTGTCCTCGCCCCGGACCCGGTGGGCATCTCCGGGGACTCTTCGCCGCACCTGTCCCGCGACCCTGCGCCTCTCCCCTCACCCTTCGCGTGTGGGTCTCCAGCCCCGGCCCGCCGCCGCTGGCGCGCAGGGGCCGGCGGGAGGCCGGGCGCGCCTGGGGGCGGGGCCGAGTGGCCAAGGCCCGGCCCTCGCAGCGCAGCTCAGAACGAGGCGGCCGCGGCTGAGGCGGAGGGATACCGAGCGCCATATATATATGGCGGAGCGCAGGCTCGCACTTCGCCAGTGGTGCTGGGAGTCTCGCGGACGCGGAGCCGTTACACGCAGTTGGGCGGCGGCGGTGGCGGCGGCATAGCGCTCAGCGCTCACAGCGCCTTAGCAGCAGCAGCAGCAGCAGCAGTAGTAGCAGAGGCGCCCCTGCGGTCACAGCCCCGGCGCAGGTGCAGCCACCCTTGTTCTCTCTGCTCTTCCTCCGTTCGCTCGCACCATGGTAGGTCGGGAGTGGCAAACGCCGGCGTAGCAGCTGCCGGCCCATGATTTCTTACCCAATTTTTAGTTCAGCCTATTTTTTTCTCCTCTTTTTCTTTTCTTTGTTGGGTTTTTTTTCTTTTCTGGGTGTTACGCAGCAGGTGCGGTTTAGGATGCATTCCGGATTTGCATCTCGGTTTCCTCGGCCAGGGATCCTCATTTAAATTTTGGTGCGTCTTGGAGCTGGGATTGGCCGTGGGCTGTCCGCGGGCAGGGGCTCTGGCCCCAGCTGAATCGGAGCCATCTGCATCCACCCCCCTCCCCCAGTCCGCACCACTGCATCCAGCGCGCCGCACCCGGGCTGCCCGCAGCGCTTCGCCTCTGCCCCGGGGGGCGGGGGAGCCGGGCGGGGCCGGGCACTAGACCCTGGCTCGCAGGCAGCAGGGCGGGCGGGCAGCGGAGAATGAATGGGCCGGAGCGAGCCGGTGGCGCACGTTGCTCCTGCCGGGATGTGGGGGGCGCCGTCAGCCTTCCCCCAACACTGCTGTCCCCGCTGGGCGCTCTCTCCCGGCGCTCTTTCCTCCTCCCTCCCGGGGGGCGCGGCGCGGGCGTGGGCTGGGAAGGAAGGAGCCGGGGAAGGGTGGGGTGGGGGCAGGAAGGCGCGGGGTGGGGGGCGGAGAGGGCGGAAGCGGCGGGCCGGCCGCCCTGGACCCGGGCGGGGCCCTGCGGTGTGGCCGGGGCTCGTGTCTCCCGGGTTCGCCCCCCTGCAGCCCCCCACCCTGTGCGGCAGTAAAGGCGTGCGTGAGCCTCGGTACACCAGGAGGTCCCTTCCCGAGGGAGGCGCTCGGCTCGCGCTAATTGGGGCGGGGGACAGGCGGGGGAGGAGGGAGCTGGCGCGCGGCTCGGCTTCCAGCAGAGACGCAAAGTTTCTGCTCTGGGAGGCGGTGGCGGCGCGGCGGGCTCGCCGCCTCGGGGAGCAGAAGCGGGTGGGGGGCGCGGGGCAGACTGGGCCTCCGCCTGCCGCGCAGCCGGGGGTTGGGGTTGGGGGTGGGAGTGGGGGTCTCCCTGGCCTGGGAGGGCGGCGCCCCCTTGAACCCGCCTGCACTGGGGGCCCGCTTCCCTGCCCGGCCCTTCGCCCGGCGTTTTCTCTGCCCCGCGCCACTTCCCAGTCCGAAGGGAGATGCCCTCCACGTTTCCGCTTTCTTTGCAGCCTCTAGATTGCCAGATGCGGCTGTGCGCCTCGCTGGGTGTTTTCCATAGCCCCTTTCCTCTCTCGGCGGGCAGGGCTGACATCACCCACAGCGTTTTCTGGCTTGGGGTGGGGAGGTGGCTCCCGGCAGGTTCAGCGCACCTTCGCCCCCAAGGCCAGCGCGGTCCGGTGGTCGGCGTGTATTTCTTTGTCGAGGAAGGCTGATGCTCTCGATAACCACTCTAATGCGAGAATTTTGCGGCGAGGTGAGACTGTCTCCACGGTGAGGTGACAGCTTCTCTTGCGAGGTGTGGCAGCGCTTCCTGTTGTGCAAGACAGACGTTGCCCTGGCATTACGTAAATCATCGTGTCTCCTTCATTCGGTATAAAGAAGACCAACGTGCTATGTCTGGGTTAGAAAGGAAGGAAGACCCAGTTCTAATTTGAAAACATAAGTGTCTGATATAAATCAGTATATTGGAACATCATTCCTATTGTGAAAGTTTTCACTTATGAGTTAGAATAAACTTAATGCCGTCAGCTTTCTAATAGGACTTATTCTGGAACTGGCTTCATTAGGCGTCCTTCATTAATATAAAAATACATATTAGCTCTCCTTGAGATCTCGAATTCCCCTGGCTGGAGGCACAGGTTCAGTGTTGCCGAGGCCAAATAATGCAAGTGAGAATTACCTTCGTGGCCGTTACCACCTCTAGTCAAGTATTTCTATTATGAGCAGCTCTTACGTCAACCATAAAGTAGGTAAATATTCTCTAACAAAGTTAATAGTTCCTCTCCAAAACAGGGAGGGCACAGTCTCATAATTATTATGTAGCTTCTTTGTACTTAATTTTTGCAGTTTTCTAACAGCTCAGCTGTAGGACAGTTCCATTTTTTCCTGCCTCCTGAATCAGGATAATTTGACCAAGGGCATTTAGCTGTTCTAAATTTTAGGCTTTTAACAAATAGCTGCCTAATTTAAATGATTGGAAAGCACTTGTTACATGGAAATGAAGTTGGTAGGATAACCCATTGCTGTATATTTTTTTCCATTGAATTGTATCTCATAAAATAGATATAAAAGCCTGTTAATCCAACCCAATGACATTATGTAACGCCAGTTTGGAGATTTGGAGTGCCTGCAGCAATGCGCAAGGTGCACTAAAAGTCTGCCCCTGGACCCAATCCTGGCTGCGGTGACAGCAGCAGCAGGCTGGGTCCCTTCTTGGATGGAAGCGGGGACTGTGGCACCCCTGGTGCAGTAGGTGGCGCTCTTCTTTCTCAGAGCCTGCCCCTGCAGCCGATGCAGTGGGCCTTTTGCCACTAGAGGTGCCATTTTTCAAACTATGAACTGACCCTTCCTAGTTAGACTGCAGAGCGTATAGCCATAGGCCCAGAGAAGAAAACCCGAAATGAGATGTTGTCACTTCCTTTGCCATCCTTTGTTTTTAAAATAGCGTAAAGGGTTCCCTTTATTCTAATTGTTTTTATTAAATGACTTTGCTGAAGTTTTCAAACAGCTGATTTTTTTTTTGAGATTGAGTTTTGAAAGATCACTATTAAAAGTGTAATTGGAAAAACCATGTTGACCTCGATCAAACTCTGGTGGATTGAATTATAACCTTTTCTTTTTCTATGTAGGCTGATCAGCTGACCGAAGAACAGATTGCTGGTAAGTTGATGACTGCAGGGAGTTTCAGTAGACCGGAACTAGGCAGACTCAGTTCTGGTGACTCCTCTGTCCCCTCCCCCTATAGTCTGAGCAGGTTTCTAAGAATTTACTTAAATGAAAACGATAAGCAGAGATATTTAGGTCAAGTGTTACTCCTTGTCAGCATTTTGGAGATAATGAGAAAGGAGGTAGAACTAAGAATACCCACTTATTATACTCTGGAGTATTTGACTATGCTTCACGGTGTGCCAGGCTTTGTATATAATGAGATTGCATGGAGCCTGCTATAAAAATGTAGCAAAAATGTAGTTTAGAATTCTTATGCCATAGGTCTTTTAGTAATTCATCATGAAAGCTTGTACTTGCTATTCTAAATGGGAACGGGTGGAAATAAGTGTCAGAACCACTGTAATAATTGGGAAGGGAATGGTTTAGTTTAGATTTTAGCTTTTAATATTCCCTGGAGAACTTTTTTTTTTTTTTTTTTTTTCGTTCGCAGTCCTTTTACTGTTGTGGCCTCTCCTGTTGCGGAGCACAGGCTCAGCGGACATGGCTTACGGGCCCAGCCGCTCCATGGCATGTGGGATCTTCCCGGACTGGGGCACGAACCCGTGTCCCCTGCATCGGCAGGCGGACTCTCAACCACTGCGCCACCAGGGAAGCCCCTGGAGGACTTTTTTGAGATGGTTTCTCTTTAGGAAACCAGGAATGCCTTTGAAATACTCTGAATGCCATGTAGAGAGAACACACTGGTTACGTGGGATTGTACATTTTTGGTAACCACCTCTTCCTACGGCTGTGAAACGGGGAGTTCTTGTGGCTGTAGAAATTTAACAGGAAGGGACCATAAAGGAACATGTGGACCAATCTTCACTTGTCAGATTGGACTTAGGACTAAATTAAGTGTGTTGAAGCTTAGCCTTCTTTATGTGAGAATATTGTGGCTTTATGGAACTGGTTACCAGGAATGACGTTTGCTCTATGGACTACTGTGTGAAGGCCAGTCCAACAGAACTGCTGTGATCTTTGTTTCAGCAGATAAAGAGCAGGCAGTTTCTCTTAACTTGCACAACTTGGATGGCTTGCTTTGGCAAGTTAAGGAAAGGGCGTGCTGTGGCTGGGTTGGGTGAAGACATTCATTCTAAAAGGTAAACTTTTGTTTTCAGAATTCAAGGAAGCTTTCTCCCTATTTGACAAAGATGGCGATGGCACCATCACAACAAAGGAACTTGGAACTGTCATGAGGTCACTGGGTCAGAACCCAACAGAAGCCGAATTGCAGGATATGATCAACGAAGTGGATGCTGATGGTAAGGGCTTTAGAACTATGAACGAGTGCCAGCGTTGTGTAATTCAAGTTCAGACATTAAAGATTGTCTTTCAGGTCCCCAGATCAAGGCAAACGTGCAAAGATCCTTTCTGTGGTTTCCTTACAGCCACTGACAATTAAAATAGAAGATTACGGGCCTGCCTTTCGCCCTGCTCACTGTCTAGAATATTTCCTGGATCGGATCACAGTATTGTTCTTTTCCACTCGCCATGACCTGCAGCTCAGTCTTTTATCAACTGGCCCATGAGTCTGCACTGAGTCCTATGGGGAAAGTAAAAATAAATAGCCGTAGACCTTTTAAAACTTATTGTCTCTAAGAGGAGAAAAAACCCAAGTGAGGTAGGGGAAGAGCATTCTCAGATGTTAACATGTGGAAGTGAGCACAGTGTGAGCTGTCAGTATGGTTGTTTTTTTTTTTTTTTTTTTTTTTT